GAGTTGAACCACCCGTACTGAGACGAAGAGAGCGGCCCTGCATTTACCGCCTCCTGCCGCTGTCGGGGCGGGAGCGGCAGCAACCGCGCGCGTTCCACCAGTCGTTGTGCTTCGGTGCCCTGGCGCTGGCAGCCCTGTGCTGTCCTCCAGTGAGTTTCATCCCCAAGACCGTCAAGCTTGGGAAGATGATGTTTGCGTGGACACCCCGCGCCTGCAGCTGCCGCCGTTTCCGCGGGTCACGATGCGCCCATTGCTGTTTGCCGTTGTTCTCCACCATACCCAAGGCTTGTGACCAGTCGTCCCAGATGGCCGCGGCGCCAAGCATACCGTCGAGAGTGCGAGACGTCCACGTACGGTCGTCGACGTACAGGGCCGTGCTGACCCGGGGCTCCCGCGCGGCAGCCTCACAGAGCGGGCCCGCGAGCACTGCCGTAATGGCCGAGGCGGACCACGGATCCCCCTGCGGGAGGGAGGTGGTCACGTTTTCTGGTTGCTTGGCAGTGGCCCCATGTAGCTGTCACCACCGTCGTTGGTTGGTCCATTGCTTTTCCAACATATTCGCGACATGTTTGGGCATACCCATATGCTCCATTGCTGTCATTGCTGCCGTAGGATGCACCCGTTCGAACCCCAAGATGTAGTCCCAAGACGCACCGAAATCGCCGGCCTCCAGGGCAGCGATGACCCGCGCCGCCGCGTCGTGCACCGTAGCACCCTTCTTTGCCCCGTGGGCCTCTTGCGGCCACCATTCTTTGCACCAGGCGGCGCAGGAGGGAGAACGCAGGCGAGCTGTGGCCCAGACCCTGTGCCACGAGCTGAACACCCTGATCGGTCGGAGCTGGGAGACCGGGATGGCCCCTCCCCTCGCCGGCGGGCTCTCCTTAGGGAGGTGGATCTGCCGCGCCGACCATGGACCCGGGAGGGCCTCTGTCATCTCAAAGGCGTCGAACTCCACAGCGACGGCTGGGGCCACAATGTCACCAAGGTCAGCACATTTGTCCCAGACCATCCGTCGGTACCTGCCGCCGTGCCCCGTTGTCGGTCCATTGCGCCACGCACATCAAATGCGTCGTAGATGTCCCAATCCCGTTGCGGGAACCGCTTGGTCCACACCCGCATTTTGTCTCTTCACCTGGCTGGGACATCCCGGTCCCAGCTTTTGCGCCACCGTTTCGACAGCAGCTGCAGCGTTTCCTCTGTGCTCGTGGTGGTGGTGGTCGCAGCAGGGGCGGCGCTACTGTCGTCGTACAGAGGCACGCCCCGCACGGGCGCCTCTCCGCGCAACCAATTGTGTATCCTTTCGGCGGCTAAGCTCAGTCTCCCAACGTCGTAACCGTGTTGCCCGTGCCGGGTCCCGCTCCACCCGTAGTCGGTTTTCTGCGTCCCGTCGTAGCTCCTGCCACCGTTCCACACCGTCGCCCACTGGTAGTCGTAGGCGAGCTGCCACCGCACGCAGGCGCTGTTGTAGGACACAGGACTCTTTCTCCCTCCCCTGGCCGCGGCGCACCAAGTACAGCAGCCTGTTGCACCTCGCGATGAGATTCGTGGTTGTCGCTCCTGAAATGGCGTCTGTGGAACCACGCATTTGGCCCGCATCCTGCTTGCGCTTGAGCTTGACCTCTCCCTTGTGACACCCAGCTGGGGCATGCCGTGACATACGCACGTTGCTGTTGTAGTGCCTCTTGCCGTCGTCGCGTTCCCCCAATCCTTGCTCGCCCGCCTCGGCCTCCAGGGCCTCCTGCAGCATGAGGCGAGCCCGTTCCCCAGTCGTCTCCAGAGCAACAGAACATTGGCGCCACAGGTCGTCCACCCAATGCTGCGCGTCCGACGTTCCCTTGACGAAGGACGCGTCGTGTACAGCATCCCTCTGAATGTGTTCGTGTTGGTCCCATTGTCTCCGTACCACGTCGTCGACATAGGTCAGCCCCGAATGCCACGACCCTGTGGTCCGCCGCCGCCCTCCCGTCAAAGCCCCGAGCACGTACGTCGCAGTAGTACACCACAGCGTAGTCGATGCACCGCGAGGTGTCTCATCTCGTAGGTAGAGGGTTGCCCTGCCCATCGCGTATCATTACGCGTTGGCAGTGTTCCGTCGGCACAGGTATTTCCGCCGGCACCGTGTTCCAATCTCCAATAGCCACCCAAGAAACCACGCCGTCTACATTCGCGCAGTCACTGACAACACGCATCACATGGTCCACCTTTGCCACAGGCGCCTTCATATATTGAGCACAACCACACTCTCCACCAGCGTAGCCAGGATTTGTAAGTTTCTTAAGACTACGGCTGCACAGAAGCTGACAATCTGGGCCCTGGATTCCTTGTCTCTTACGTTCGTGACGGCCTCCGATGTCGGAGGCCCTGGGTCAGCCCACCGAGGGGGTGCGCAGGGGGCGTGGTTGGTGATGGCAGCGGACGCCAGCATCCGAGCCAACAAGAGGGCTCGGGTCTCTGTGCTTAGCTGGCGGTCGCAGAGATTGAAGCGAGTTATAAGTTCTACGGTCGCGGCCGAGACCCTCGCACTCTCGGGCGCAGTGGCCGAGGCCCAGTGGCTGCAGGTTTTATGGAGGGATGCCGTGTTTGCAGATGTGCTTCGCCCTGAGTGGGATCTGGGGGCGCCCCCGTTTGCTGTCGTGCTCTCTCAAAGCTGTGAGTTGGGGGGGAAGGCCAGCTCGCTGGCCATCGTTGACGCTAAGTCGGTTTTTGATACTCTTTCCCGAGGCTCGGCCGGATCCCGTGCCGATCGGCGAAACGCTGTGGAGCTGGCCGTTGTGCGAAACGCCATGGCTAGCACGGGGCCCCAGGTCCGTTGGCTCCCTCATGGGCGAATGCCCGCTGACCCTATGACCCACAGCGGCCCCGCCCGTGGCAATTTGGTTTTGCACGACGTTCCCTGCCAGGGGACCCTGCGTCTGGTAGAAGAAGGGGGACACCTAGACGAACGGGCCTTGAATCAGGCCCTTAAAAGCCGTTCACGTGGAGCCCCCAGGAAAGCTCTGTCCGTGGAGGCCGCCCAGAGAGAAAGAGAAGAAGAGGAAGAAGAGGAGAAAGGAGAGGAGGAAGCCGCGTCCCAGAGGAAAGCGAAGATGACCGCCGCGGGACGCCGAAGCCCTGGAGGAAGAGACGAGAAGGGAGGAGAGGAGGAGGAGGAGGAGGAGGAGGAGGAGGAGGCGGAGGCCCTCCCCCACCGGCAGGGCCGCGCGCAGGCAGGCCCCGCCAGTGCCGGCGCCGGGCCGCGGCAGGCGGGGCGCCCGTGCCCCGGCCCAGGGCAGGCGGGACCGTGCTGGCTAGTGTTCAAAGAGACAGCCTCGGCCACGAAAGTTGGGCCCGCTGTCCCAGAACCCCCCCTGGGCCCCCTCTCCCACTCTTCCCTTGTCCTCCGCTGCTCTTCTATGTGCCCGCAGCCTTCGGCTTTGATTTCGTGAGTTCCTGTGCCGAGCGCAGAGTACCGATACGTTTTTGTTTCAGCCCCCTCCCGATCCCAGTGTCCGCGCCGCCCCCCGAGCCCCATCACAGTCCTGCATCGCGCGCTGGATGCGTATCTGCACCATAAGGGCCCAGCTTCATACTCACGCTGCTCAGCGCCACACTCATGCAGTTTAGATTCACCATGCGACGCAGCGGCACGTTCTAGCTTTTCGGCACCAGGCGCACAAGGCCCAGCCGCCACATTCATGATGCCCCGCACCGCCCTCGACGCCACAAGGCTGGCCGTTCCGCTCACGAGGTTTAGATTCACCATGAGCTACTCCAGCACACTCATGGGCCCATGACTCATGGGGCCCATCTCCGTGAGACTCAACTTCGCGCTCGTCTTCGCACTGGAGAGCATAATCTTAGTCATGCGGACTCCAAAAAAAAGCTACGATTCCAACTTCGCAACACCAGGACCACGTTCAAGAAGCCTCTAGTCCGCCCGAGCGTAGTTCGTGAGGCTCAGCGTCGCGTTCGAGAGGCTCGCGCATCAAGACGCCCAGCAACTCGTCTACAATCTCCCCATCGGAGCCGTACGTGCCGACGTACATCTCGGTGCGAGCTTGTTCGAGATCATTGAGGTTAATGCCGGTCGGCACCGTGGACGCAATTTGCGCGTCCAACAGCGAAGCGTGCTGCGTCCAGTTGCTATCAGCGCAAGCTGCGGCCGCAAACGTCCTGAGGCGGCCGAGGCGGCCCTCACAAGCTCGAGAGGGGGAGGGACAAACAGGGTGCCCTCGCGCCACATCTGACATCCTACCACTCCCACCCATCCCTTGCCAGTGCACTGAGTTCGCCCTTACATGCCGATTGCGATGTCATTGAGAACCTCGACACTATCGCGTAGTGGGTGGTTTTGAACATTGGTCGAGGAGGAGGTGGCGAATGAGCAGGAGGAGCAGGAGGAGCATCAGCATGAGCAGGAGGCATCGGAGGAGCAAGAGGAGCAGAGGAACCTGGGGAAGGCGGAGGGGAAACAATGGGGGCGGCAGCAACGAGGAGAGAATCGTATCCAAAATTGTGGCCCGCGCTCAGGCGGGAACATTTCGAGGGACGGTAGCAAAGCGCCGATTTTCGACTTGTGGCCAACATAACAGCAGGAGCACCATGTTTGAAGACCGAGAGCGCACGGGCGAGGGAGAGGGGAAAGGGAGGCGTAGAGGGCACAGAGGAGGAGAGGGAGAGACGGAGGACGAGGAGAAGAAAGAAAAGGAGGAAAATGTCGATGATGATGACGATGATGATGATGATGATGATGATGATGATGATGATGATGATGATGATGACGATGATGATGATGATGATGATGGTGATGATGATGATGATGATGATGATGATGATGATGATGATGGTGATGGTGATGGTGATGGTGATGGTGATGGTGATGGTGATGGTGATGGTGATGGTGATGGTGATGATGAGAGGAGAGGAGGAGGAGGAGGAGAGGAGGACGGAAAGGCAGGAGGAGGATGGAGGGATGGGGGGGGGGCGGGAGAGTGAAGGCGGAGAAGGAGGGCGTCCCTGCCCAGGAGGGTGCTCTTCATGGACGCCGACACGTGCCCGCTATGCCTGTTGAGCCGGCGCTCGCATCGCGCCGATCACGGATTTCGTGTCGTTTCCTCCCCTTGGCGGGCGGAGGAAGAGGAGGATCAGCAGAAGGAGGAGGAGGAGGAGGAGGAGGAGGAGGAGGAGGAACGACATCTCGGATCTCGGAGTTGTTTGGAATTTTTGGGGGTTCTCGAGACCCTGGTGTGGTTGCATGACTGGTGCCCCGTCGAGTGACGGCAGAGGGCGGGCGGCGCGTGGATTTGTCCCGCACGGCCTGACTGTTCCGGTCCGAAGAGCAGCTTGCGAGCCCCGAGTATCACTAAGCGTGATAATAACGGGCATTCGAAATAACGTGATAATGACGGAGCGGAGGGCGTGATTCTTCTGAAAAAAGGTTCTCCGTGATGCGATTGGCTAATGCCTCCGATGGGGCCAGTGTACATCGCAACTATGATGGCGCGGATCTCATGTTGACAGCAGTGGCGTAGGCATTTGGCGCGTGAATGCACATATCGTCCCGTACGTGCGTATGTGTTGTGCGTAGCACGCGCTATGTTGTTGTTGCGTAGGTGAATCGTACGGTGTACGATCAGCGTACACATGCATGCAGTGAGCCAAAATGGCTACTCGTTCATCCTCCTCGTTCTTCTCGCTTGCTTGTTCCCCCTCTTGTCTTTCAAGTTTCCGCTTCGTGTCAGCAGTCGTTTTCTCCTCCTGCTGGTTCCTTCGTTCCTGCCAGTCCAGTTAATCCTCTCCCCTCCTCCTCCTCCTCCTCCTCCTCCTCCTCCTCCTCCTCGGGGCCGCTTCCTAGGGTCCTGTATGGATCCGAGTGCCATGGGATTTCGGACGGGGAGCTCCACCGTATTCGGCAACAGGCTGGCTCCGTGATGGGACCGAGTTGCAAAGGGAGATCTCTCACAAGCCTCCTGATCATGGAAGACGAGCCTACATGGCTCGCGGCGGTTGCACCTCTTGTAAGATATTCCAAGGAACTCTGGTGTGCCCATGCAGGTGCATACCGTTGGTGTTTCAGTTTCGCGGAGCTCCGCGAGGCCTGGTGCATTTTCTGCCAGAAGAAGCCGCCTTCTACTTGGCGCGAGGTCACGGGTCCGTTCTCGGCCATGTACATGTGCCTACAGAGAATCCAGTGGAAGTTCATAGATTGGGTCACTCTGGAAAATGATTTCGGGGAGAAGCTGGTTTTAACGGGGGTCACCCCGGGGCTTTTGAAGGTTTTGTTGCGTCATGCTGTGCTTCGGAGTCTAGAGCGGGTTGTTGCCCAAAAATCAATCCTGGAGGCCCCGAGGTTATGTTACGATGTGCTCAAGCGTTCACTTCACTCGAGCAACGTTTCACCGTCTGGCAAAGCGGCCATCAGAGTTACCGGTTGTGATGCCAGCTGGACTCGAGTCAGAGCTCGCTGCCTTGGATATCAGCCTGAATCCGTCGAGTGCCCGTTGTGCGGTCAAGGACCAGACACGCTGCTGCACAGATTGTGGCATTGCACGGCTTGTGCCGAGGAGCGAGCTGAGATAGTAACGAAGAAGTGCCAGGAGCTTGTGGACTCTATGGACAAAGAAAACCCGCAAGATCTTCTCCCACTCACCCGAGGCATCTTCCCGCACCCAGGCGACTACTGGCCCCGACCCGACAAGGAGTGTAAGACCTTGTGGCAATGGGAGGATGATGTCAAGGAGGAGGCGCAGTTGGTGATGGGTGAGCTTTTTCTGGACGGGAGCTGTACCAGGTGTATTGTGCCAGAACTCAACAGGGCGGCCTGGGGTCTTGCGATTGTCGATCGGGATTTCAGGTTCCTGGGACGGGTTTTCGGCACCGTTTATGCTGGCCTTCCCCAAACTTCCCAGGCTGGAGAGTTTGCCGCTTTTGGGTGCTTTAGCCAGGCTGTTGAAGGCCAGTGTGATATGTATATTGATTGTGCCAATGTTTACGTCCAGGCTAATCGACCCCTGGGTGACCAGTTACATTACCAGAGGCCCTATGCTGGGCTATTGTTGCACGGTCAGAGAGTGTCTCACTATATACAGTCTGTGAGGAAAGTCAAAGCACACCTATCCCTCGAGGAAGAGGGTGTACCCGAGGAGGAAATGCAGCTCCGCCGAGGGAATTTCCAGGCTGATGAGGCCGCGAAGGCTGGTGTCCGCCTGCACGAAGTACCCTCCCCAAATCAGGTGCAGGCTCTGGGCAATGTTTTAATTGTCGCGCAGACTGTGTGCAAGCTTGCGGCTGCGCTGCTCTTTAAGTGGCCCAGGCTCGATTTGAAAGATGTGGAGTTTGTCGCCCCAGGGAGGCGGGCCCGTGAAGGGCATCCTGACCGCCCCCAGCATGACTGGGAATTCGTGGCTGGCAGATGGAGATGCCGTGTCTGTCTCAACGCCTCTCGGTCTCAGCTCCGCCCACCCTCGTGCAGTTGTTCGGGAGTGTGCGGTGATTGGGATTTCGCTGAGATGGAACGGAATGGTCACTTTGTTGTCGGCCTGCCGTGTGACGACGGCTCTGTTTTGCATATATGCACGCGGTGTGTTTGCCATGTTGGTCACGGGTCTCTCAAGACGTCCAACCTCGGCGGTAGGTGTGACCAGAAGATGACAACTCAGAAGATGTCTGTGGCGCCGCGTGCTTAAAGGGCTCTACCCCAGTTACAGTTCCACACTGAGGGTAGACCCTGAAGGTATTCAAGACCTCATCCTGTGAGGCTGATTTAAAACTTGGTTTAAATCATTACAGTCCAGTCTTGCTGGTGTCAGTGGTTGTTGATGTTGAAAAATCATATTCCTTCTCCTCCTCCTCCTCCTCTTCCTCCTTCGTCCTTCCTCCTTCCTCCTTTATCTCTCCTCCTTCCTCCGTCCTAGCCCACCCCCTCCTTCTCTTTCTCTTCTTCCTCCCTGTTGCTGCTGTTGCTGCGGCTCTGATCAGGGCGCGCGGGCGCGGGCGGGCGGGCGCCGCCTCGAAGTTGTCGTCGGCGGATGGCGGGGGGCGGCAAGCAGAGCCGTCGTCGTCGTCGTTGTCGTTGTTGTTGTTGACGTTGCTGTTGTTGCTGTTGTTGTTGTTGTTGCTGTTGTTGCTGTTGTTGCTGTTGTTGTTGTTGTTGTTGTTGTTGTTGGTGTTGTTGTTGTTGTTGTTGTTGTTGTGGTTGTTGTTGTTGTTGTTGTTGTTGTTTAGTTGTTTAGTTGTTTAGTTGTTGCTTAGTTGTTGCTTAGTTGTTGTTGCTGTTGATGGAGTTGTTGTTGTTGCTGTGCGTGTCGTTGTTGTCGTTGTTGTTGTCGTTGTCGGTGTTGTTGGTGTTGGTGTTGCTGCTGTTGCTATTGTTGTTGGTATTGATGTTGCTGTCGTTGTGATTTGTTGCTGCTGTTGTTGCTGCTGGTGTTGTTGCTGTTGTTGTTGTTGTCGTTGTTGGTGTTGGTGTTGTTGTTACGATGTTGGGCCTTCTTGAGGATGATGCGCGGATGGTTTGGAGGATATCAGGGTTCGTTCGGGTCTTCTCTTATTCGCTTTATGGGGCCATTTATTTGGGGCTCGGTTTCGGCTAGCGCAGAAAGTCAAAAATCAGTCAGCACCCATTTGAACAACGTCATACAGGCAACACTCGAGGGACGACAGCTGAGGGCAATCGATTTCACGATGTTCTGCACATCCTCGTCTGCGTAAAGCCACAACTCACGTGGGTTAATGCATAATTGATGCTGGCGTGTATGCTGAGATTGGTGAAACTGAGGCTTCATCTTCCACATCAGCTTGTCACGAGACATAGCTTCAACACTAAGAAACCTATAAGATCTGATCAGCCGTTCAATCAACACTGAAGCCCTTTCTTTGTCATCCTCGGTCGGAAAACGCGGAGCACGACTTAGAAGCTTGTCGATGTCATCTAACGATTGTGCGAGTGCAAGCCGACGGCGATCGTGCAAGTTTCCGTTGTTAAACGCAACCGCTAGTTTAAAACCGTATGGAACAAGATGGCGTGTGGCAGTTGGCAGTTGCTTTTGCTTTGAGAAGCGGCCAGTCCCCCTGTGGTTTCACTCGCGTTCAAGTAATTGTCCCAGCGAGTGTTGTTTGTTCGTTTACTTGAGACTGCCAAACCCTCAAATGTTTGTCTGGACCTTCCGCCTATTTCGACTGAGTGTTGCCCCAGTGCCCCAACTCCATCCTCCACCATCACGTTGCCCAGAATTTCTGACACCACGCCCTCATCCAGCGCGTGCAACACGTCCGAAAGGCACCCCTCCAAGAACAGGTTTTGGATATCGAACAGATCGCACACAGGGGTTCCGCTGTGAGCGCATCCAGCAATGTGCGATTCGTGAGTTTTCATCGCGAGCGTCCATCTTGCATGCGCGGACGTGTTGGCCCAACACATTGGGCCTTCATGAGGCGAGGCCCCACACCACGGACACATGTTTGGAACATTATGTGGGCCAGGGCAGTGGCACGCATTCTGATAGAATTACCAATCTTTTGATAAGAATATTGGAATGATCTTCCAGCCGCATGCCAGCTCACGACCTGCGTCTGGCAACGGGTATCCTAAGAAATCGGATTCTGGCATCCTCCCATCAACGAGCGCGTTCATCGCCCATGGGAAACGACGAAACACAATTGAAAGCGTGGTCCCCCAATCCACGACTTAGGCAGATCAGCAAATACTTGACGAGTGCGCTTGGCATCCCCGTTCCCGCGCATGCTCGAACAACTCACTGTGAATAGTCCATCAACTTTGTTAGTGGGCGCTCCATCGCCATGTATGTTGATCGCAATTGATTTGTCGACGTCAATGCGATTTTCATTGCGAGTGAAACAAACGTGTCTTCTCATATGATACCACAAGCTTGGAACAGCCAGGTCTGGTCCACGAATTGTTGTATTGAACCGCTCCAGATGTCTATTCATCATGGCCTCTACCATGTCGATGGGGCACACGATCGGCAACGAGCGAGTGACACCTCCTTTGTATGCAACATCAATCCATTGAATTGGAGGGGCAGTTGATGGA